CGCCTTGAGGCGACTGTTGTTGTGATTTGGCACTATATAAATAAAATTGAATTGAATATTTTGATAGGAAAAATGGGAAACTATTGTAGTGATTTGTTGAAACTTGCAAACATAAAAGGAAACACAGTTTATAAGGCAAAAACAGAGTTTGTACAAGTCTAAAACGCTTGAAAGTCAATATTTTTGTACAAGCAACTTTGTTCTTCAGCACAACCTGAACTCTCCTAGGGAAGCTTTCTTGTCATTTCTTGTCATAGTCTTCAGGAATAGTTGGAATGTCATTCATGCATCTTGAAGAACTCTGATTTGAACTAAAACATTTCGAATTTCATCACTCCATCAGACCTGTTGCCACTGATTTTCAGTACAGTTCTTTTTTTAATTTAGCAGTTTACCTCAGCCTGTTTCTCTTTGTCATAAATGGCTTCTCAACAGCCACGCTTCCATGGAGATTTTTGGTGATGAAGCAGTGAATAGCAGATAGATCAACTAAAGGCCCAGGTGTATCATGTTCTGTGTCAGGTCTTTTATTGGATTCTCCCCCGATTTCTTAAGGACATGACTTTCAGATACCTCTTCCATCTGCTGTAGATTGCTAATTCTTATTTCATCCTCCACTTGCTCAGTTTCCTCAATTTTTATAAGGTCAATCTACACAACATACTGAGATATTCTAAGTTTTCAGCTAATATCTCTTTGGGAATCACCATGTTGGTGCAAAAGTACTATTTTATGTTTGCCAAACTGTGTTACCTTTGGCAGTTTTCATAAACTCAACTAAAGACATAAGAACAAATGATGTGTTTTTGCAACAGGCTCCTAATAAAGCTACTAAAATTACAGTTTGAAATGTGTAGATAAAACACTGGTTAATTTTTTGGATAAAGCACCTTTTTTATGATTAAATGATTCATACTGTGAGTCAGTGAAAATAGTCAGGTCCAATGGCTGGACTGAAAATGCATTTAAAAGCAGCCGGGGTCCAAAAAAGCCAGAGTACTGGCTTAATGCATTGCTGTGTGCATCATATTTAAATTAATTTAAATTCAGTGTGAACATTGTTTTAATCCCCTCCTGTTCAACTCCCCAAGCAACTCCAATTTGAAACCAAACTGAAACACATCTGGACACTATGGAGCATTATCTTGTAACTTAACACACACAAAAAAACCTGCCTAAACTGAGTGTCCGGTCAAATCTGATATAAAGATTATTTAAAAGTTACTCACAAATAAAGTTTTAAATGCCTTCTCTCCTGGAAGTTACATCACTACCACCAACTTTGCTGCTGCAAAATATTTCCATGCATTTCTTCCATTACAACTTTTCTGAGTGAGACAGCTGTAGCTAGCAGAAACACTGTGCGACCACTGCTGAGCCATTTCAAAATAAGTTAGCATTTATGCTAACTGCTTTTCTGTAACCCTACCTGGATGAAATGCATATGTTTGTTAATGTTAGTTTTGGGGGCTTATTTTAACTTGGAAGGTAGGGTACGTTAAATGATAATAATACAGGCCATGCATAAATATAAGCACTATATCATTTGACAGAGAAAGAAAGAAAGAAAGAAAGAAAGAAAGAAAGAAAGAAAGAAAGAAAGAAAGAAAGAAAGAAAAAAGATAAATGATAAATAAATATCATATCGTATCATTTAGTGGTCATTAAAATGTGTTCAGAAGGGTCATGATGATTCATCCCATAAATCAACAACACACTGTTCTCCCCTACCGAACCCCTTATAGGTTAACAATGAGAGTATCAGTATCAGCATCAGCAATACTGGCCCTGTATTTACTTGGTATCAGATCAATACCAAAATCTGGAGTATTGCACAGCAATATCAAGCAAAACAAGAATAACAAAATAATGAATTGAGCAGTGAGGACTTATTTCAAAATAATTTATTTGCATATAATTGGAATGAAGACAGGTTGATACATCTGTGATGGCACCGGTCAGTTTCCATATAGGAACATTCAGTCTATACAGAAACCACTTTCAAACCTGGGCAAAATGGATAAATATATTAGTAAATAAATATATTAGTGACATGTCACTATATTGAAATGTTCTATTATATATAAAATACAACACTATTTCATTTTTGTTTTTGTTGTTCACTTTTTTATACACAAAGTATCCAAAATATACTGACATATCCCTTAAAGTTCTGGAGGGACTTTCTTTTTTCCTCACTCTATTAGAAAAGGCAGTTTCAGCTCATTATTCTTGCAAAACATAAAAAAAACATACAAACACATAAATGACACAAAGAGAAAGATCTTGAACAGGATGAAATCACACTAGATATTGTGTGGCATCACTTAATGCAATTTTTTTCCCATGTGCTGATGGTTCCGGGCTTACTTTCCATTAATACTATATAAAGTTTTATGTTGTTGTTTTTTTTTTCTATAAAATTTACTTGAGCCAAAGTGCTGCTTGTCATTCAGTCATTTCCATCTCAGTCTCTGGGACCATTTGGACAGAAAAAGGAAACCCTGATGCTTTAGCTAAAGGACACTGAGTTGACACATTCAAAGTGAGGTATTGGTACGAGGGACCGCAGGCCAAAAAAAAGTTTCCAAAAATAATTTCCACTTCTATTCTAGCATGTCCTCTCTTGTCAGTGGGAGCACACAGTGGGATCCAAAAGATGGGTGGGAGCAGAAAAAAAAAAGAAAAGAAAGGCACAACATATTAAGAGTTCACTGTGTTCAAGAAGTTGCCTCTTTGGTTAGACAGGTAAGAGCTTAGTGTGTTCCTGTTTACATGAATAAGGCACCGGTAAGAGTTTAGTAAGTGCTAATGGTTACATGGCCAATGTCCATGCTTTCTCTGCTCAGTCTGCAGTCTGACTGCAGGTAAAATCCTTTCACATTTTCGCTGAGCCTTGAGAGGAACTCCACTCTAAAACACAATTCCTACTGCTCTGATCTCAGATTTTCTAGTCTGGTACAACAAGACGAAGCCTGTGGTTAATTAGAAAAGAAGCAGGTCATTTTTTTTGATAGCGTCAGGCCAACTGTTATCTATCAGAGTGGCTAGAATAGGCTTTACATAAAAGATGGATGTGTGGCCATTACAAAAAGGTTTAAGGCACTTCCACATGGGCTATGCCCATTTTTTAGATACAGCATGTGAAGGATAGATGGGAAACCAAGGTAACAAAGGTTTAAAAGTTAATTCTATCAAGTGTTCAGCACAGCGTGGATGTCTTATGATTTGAGGTGGCACTTTCTTCATGATTGGCACAGAATAAAAAAAATTATTTTACCGCTTTGGGCATTTTATTTTGATTTTTCTCCAGTGTCTGATTGCTCCTGAGACATTCCTCAGGATCTACACATTGGGAAAGCAAAAGAAGGACACTGGTGCTCCTTAAAGTGATGTTCAGGACTGCTAGGTGTATCTAGCATGGCTTTACTCCAGTTACACTGATACCCAGTTATTAAGGCATATTTCTACAGCTTTAGGTGCTGAAAGACAAGTGGAGAGTATGAGCTCTGTGGAGGACACTACAACATTGTGATGAGTTTAAAGCAGCAGATGACCGTCCTTCTGCTGAGGCTCGTTCACTGTGCACAGATCAGGGGGTTTAACAGCACTGAGGTCAAACATGTGATGTAACCACTGGCAAAAGAAATGACAATACCAAGACGATAGCTTGTAATGACGAAAACATAATTCAGTCAAATCGATTCATTTTGACAGATGAAATAAAAAGAAGAAAAAATACAGCTGCCATATTTGTAATAGTGAAAACAAAAGGCCCATGCAAAGCTCAGCAACCTCAATGAATGCTCATTTGCTTGAGGGGCTGAGCATCAACCTTTCCTCTCTGTTTGGACAGGTCAGACTGCAGAGAGATTTTGTTGAGTTTGTGGGAGCTACATGGTTGTGACATAAAAAGGAAAAATAAAATCACTACAGCAGTACCTTTAAGGACCTCGTGTTTGAGGCGTGTTAAGAAATCTGAGCTGAGGTAGGCTGGAGAGAAAAGCATCTCTCAAGCTGAGACTGGACTCAGCGAAGGAAGACGAAGAAGTGAAAATGAAGTACCTCTAAGATAAATCAAGTTATTATGTGAGAGAAGAGAGTTTGGGACACGCTGCAGAGACAGAGTCTCACTTCACGAGGGCTCAACACCTTCAGCAAGGACCATTTGATAGCTGTCACCAAGGAGCATGAGAACTTGTGATAGCATGGGCGTTCTTCCTACGAGGTGATAAGGAGTAAATGCACAGAAGAAGGGCGTTTCCTCTGTGCTATATGAACTTTTTTTACTCATCTTCACATATTCCTTTTAGTATATTTTGATATTAAATATCATAGAGGGTTGAGAATGACTCTAAAATTTCATTTAATTTCACTTTTAATAGTGACGATCGTTTGATTGTTTGAGCTTGGGGAATCATCTGTGTGAAGGCACTGCTGGTGGAAAGACATCTGTGGAAGACATGAGAGCCAATGAGAGGCTTGTCCAGTCTGGCTCCTGTGTAGCAGTGTGATCATGGGGATGCAATACGTTCTCACACTCCAGACTCCTCTTCTGATCCTGTGGACACACACAAAAAAGCTCTAGTTCATTCTATGATGATAAACACAGTAAACAAAGAGGCTTTAGTTTTAGACCACACAGCTAGCAATGGCATTTATGACAAAGAAGTGACACCCACCCTGATTGTGTTGTAATGATTGGCAGTATAAACAAATGTCTGTGTTGCACTCAGCAGCAGGCCCCTGATGGAACCTACAGGGTGGCCTGTCCATAGAGGTCCCAGGCCCCAGGAGCTGAGGCTCTGAGTGGGCCTGCTGCACCCGTTTTTGCCACACAACATGGGCCCCAGCACAGCAAGGCCAGTCCTCCATCCCACCAGAGTCCAGAATGAGGGGCACAGGGAGCAAGGTGGGGTGCAGCTCAGGAGGAGAGCAGCAGAAGCCCGGGCCCTGACCATAGTGGATGTGGATGCTGCGGTCATCCTGCAGATCCATATTCTGATGGAAGCGAACAGAGGGTCCTTCAAGCACACATCCTCCCACTCTCCCGAGAGGAGCAGGAGGGTGTCCGTGTCCCTGGTGGCAGCAGTGGGGCTGGAGTTGTAAGGAGATTGGGGACATAAGCACAGGAGGTCCTGCGGCGCTGCCGGCGTCGTGGTCTGGACACTCAGGCCCTGGGCTAGGCCGATCAGTGGAGTTTGCTTTGGGGCAGTGGCAGGGGCTGTGCTTAGGAGGGGACACGGTTGAGTCTTTGTCCGGGACAGGAACAGCAGGTGCAGCTGTGGCAGCGGCGGCCACCTGCTCCTCGTCTGAACCTCTGCTCGCACCCTGGCTGTGCTCCCCCTCCTCATAGTGGTGGTGTCTGTGACGGTGGTAGTGGATGTGGCTGAATACAGTCTGTGGCTGTTCTTCAGGGCAGCCTGCTTTGTTCACCACAGAATCCAGGGACCTGGGCCGGGCCTGGGCACCAGCCTCCAGGCTGTTCCTGCGGGGCGCATGTCCGGGACCTGGTCCACAATAAACAAACGGGTCATAGTCACTGCTCAGAGAGCTACGGAAGGTGGACCAGCTGCCATAAACTCCCTGCAGGGACACATCAGTACAGTTGAGAACTGAGTCACTGGATGAGCCGTGGCACGGCCCTGAGCTGGAGTCGCTCGCTGGTCCGTCAGCTAAGTATCCGCTGCGCTCCGTACGGTAGCTGCCACCCGAGCAGCTTCCCTCGTCCTGCCGGCTGTGGGCAGGTGCCCCACGGGTCTGTGGCGTGAGTGAGACCGTGTGATGCAGTCTTGAGCTGGATGCGCTGCGCTGGCCTGGGCAGGATGAGCGGTAATTATAGCAGGACCGGCGGGGGGTGTAGTGGTGGGTGGAGGTCCTACAGTTACCGCCAATCCTGTGGGGCCTCCCAGGAACCTCCGTGGGAAGGTGGTACCCACAGGCTGAGCCCAACGGCCTGCTGGTGAGGAAACGTACAGTCTGAGTCTCCATGGGAGAGGAGCCACTATAGTGGCCCAGATTGGGATAAGGTCCAGAGGGTCCACGAGGATAGTGGGGCCTCATAGAGAAGGGGATAGCATGCTGGGGGAAGGGATGGTTGTGGGGACTGCTGTAAGGCTGAGGATGTAAGAAGCTCTGGCTTTGCTCTGTGTTCTGCTGGAGTCTGTTCCTCTGGGACTGCCGCTCCGGCCCTGTGAACCAAAGCAGAAGGTAAAATAAAGCAATTACTGTCAAATACAGCACTTATTAAGAAGAATGTTAAATTTATGATATGCAAAAATCTTTTTAAAAAAATCAGGCTTTAGATTTAAGATCTGGATCACAAATTTCACCATCAGGCCAGGCTCTTTCTGTGTAGTTTGCATGTTCTCCCTGTGTTTGTGTGGGTTCTCTCCGGGTACGCTGACTTCCTCCCACAGTCCAAAGACATGCAGTGGGGTTAGGTTAAGTGGTAACTCTAAATTGCCTATAGGTGTGAATGTGAGTGCAAATGGTTGTCTGTCTCTATGTGTTAGACTGGTGAACTGTCCGGGGTGTACCCTGCCTCTCGCCTTAAGAGAGCTGGGATAGGCTCCAGACCCCCGTGACCCTGACAAGAATAAGCGGAAGAGAATGGATGGATGCTTTAGATTGGTCAGTTAAACTTTGTTTGTCTTGTAAAGTCAAAGAAAACCATCAGATTCTGCAGCAGCTTCACCAAAAAACAACTAGAAATGTGCTCGTCCTCACCCATGATGTTGTGCATGCAGAGTGGGCAGGTGCGGTGCTGCAGCAGCCACGGGTCAACACAGTCTTTATGGAACTCATGAGCACAGGAAATGATCCTCAGAAGCTGGGACGAAAAGGAGGTGGTTCTTAGAATGTCCAACTGAAAAGCGATGCTTAAATCTACAGCTGCAATGTGCACCCTCACCCTCTCCTCTTACCTGCCCGTCCTGGAACTCTTCCAGGCAGATGGCACAGACGGGGCTCGAGTTAGAGCTGCTGGCTGAACCCCAGGCTGCACGGTGGCGCTGCAAGCCCGAGCAGCCCTGAGAGCTGTAGATTTTGATCTCCAGTTGACTAATAGCCCGCATGGTCTGTTGATGGACGGAGTCCTGCACGCACAAGAGGAGGAGCGTTAGGTAAACCTTTGAATCCATTTTAGTGGGCTTTCCTACCAACACTGCTGCTGTCACTCACCAAAGTTCTGTTGGACTTGCACTTGTAGCGGAAAGCAAAAATCAGGATGATGGTGAGAATAGCCAGGACAATGGTGAGCAGGATACCAACATCATAATGTGGCTGAAAAGGGAAAAGAAGATTGCACTATACACTCGCTAGATTCATATTAAAAAGACATAAATAGATAAAAAGTTGCCTCTTAACTAAGACAATTGAATTTTTTAGATTTACACAGCTTTGCAGAAAGCATCCGGCTTGTTCCTGCATGCTTACCCATTTTGGCTCCATCTTGATCTCAATGACAACTTTGGCTTCCTCGTTCTTGTTGACCAAATCCATCAACTCCTTAGCATTATTATCCTCCACCAGCACAACTGGACGGGGAAGGGAGTCTACTTCTTGCAGCTGTGTGTGTGTTACAAAAATATGATAGTAAACAAAGCAGGAGGAGACAGAAATATCATACTGAATGTGAAACTTCAGCATGCTTTTTCCTTATTGGCAACTCTAGCTTTAGCAGGGTCTGAACACTCACCTCAGCAGCAGCACTGGCATCGTTTCTGATATCAAAGATCACCGCTTGAGCTCCTTTATCCAGTGCCATGCGAGCCTGAAGGGGACAGAACAGGGGGACAGAACAGGGAGACAGCAGTGTGTCAGTGTGAGTTCTTCAGAGGCCAGATATACAGCGGACTGTTAGTGTCTTAAACCATCACTGGGTGGCAGTCATGTCACGAGACTCAGGCCTCATAGGCAAAGTGAGCTCTAGCTGACTCCAGAAGCCAAACACAGACTACAAGTGTGTTAATGGTGAACATGAAGGCATTATTTTGTCTGACTGCCAGCTACAGTGTAGCTATAGTGCAATCTGTCTGTGCCAAGATTATTAGAAATTGTATTAGAAAGTACTACAAAGCAGGTTTGGAGTACTTTGGCCGGTGTATATATTGCTGATTGTCTACAGATTGATTACCCAAAAAACAAAGAAACAAACAAACCAAAAACAAAAAAGAGCTTCCTATGCCCTAGAACAAGTGTTGTCGAATCTGTGGCTCGCTGTTACCTTAGTAATTTAATATTGCTAGTAACATATCTTTTAAAACTATAGTCCTTAACTGATGGCAGATAGCTGCCCCTCCCTGAGCCTGGTTCTGTTGAAGGTCTCTTCCCGTTAAAAGGGAGTTTTGTCTTCCCACTGTCACCAAGTGCTTGCCAAGTACTGTTGGGGCTTTCTCTTTATTATTGTAGAATCAGTCAAGAAAATTGCAGTTGGTGAAACTGTTTTAAACCATATGTGTGCTCACGTGAGTACTATACTACCCGGGCTACTGACCAGGTTCTAAGTCCTCAGAGCTGGGTTTGCCTTATATCGTCCTGTGCATGTCAGGCCTGCTCTCTGAGCCTGCATTTCTATACCCCTCTAAATTTTCCCTTTTTAATCTAATTGCTCCACTACAAAAGCCCAGAATTGCTTTCTGCACCATCGCCAAATAGCAGCTGTCTCATCACATGTTCTTAAGTGTTTGGCATCTGCCAATGCTTAATAAGGACAAGACATGAGTTTAAACACCTAATGACACGGGCCAGCCTTCAACAGTGATTCCCAACTTACTGCCCCCGGCCCAGAGCAGGAAGGAGCACGCACACTGACACACAAAACATTAACAAAAGAAATTCAAGTGAAAAACATGACTCACTTGATTTATTAATTAAGTTAATGAAGAGCTTCTTAAATAAAATAACAGCCCTGATCTCTTCTCAACACTTCAAAAGAAGAGAGCGTCAGCACATGACATTTAGTATGTATAAACAAAACGTTTATCACACCACCTATTTCCTCATAGCAGCGGGTGCACCAAAGGTGTGCAGGTAGGAGTGTGCACAATAGGAGTGTACAGAAAAAAAGCATTAATGTAGAATTATATTTGAGAAATAGGTCAAGTAGCTTGTAGCTCTGGTGCTACAATTTTTGAACAGTAATTGTAGTACATGCATCAGCCTTAAATGTAGTGTGGTCACACAGAAGGAGAGGAAAAAAGAAAGAAAGAAAAAAAAGCTGGACTCTTGACATGTGGGAATTTGCTTCACGTTCCCTACACCGCTATGAGCGTTTATATCCTCTAATCGTGGTGATAAATGCAGGGACGACTACTCTTGTGGTCCAACACACACACACACACACACACACACACGCACACACGCACACACTCACACACGCACACACACTTCAGACTAACTGTGGCCAGTTAGGGAATATATCATAATATGCTCTACAAATGACTGCTGCTGTGGTCTTATTATATCTCAGTATTAGTAGTGGTGTTACCACAGTGTGGTCGCAAAACCACAAGCTGCTGCTGAGCTACAGATCCGGAAGCGGGCCGAGAAGGATCTTGTTACATGATTAATATGAGATATATTTAAACTTTATTGGCGCAGTGAAATGAAAACACTTGTCTGCTTCTAATGAGACAGTTGAGAGGACTAGCAATGCAAGTGTTTCAACATCTCCACGTTCGTTATGATCTGAACTGAAACATACATGGCTGCAGTTAGGTAAACACCCATCCTCAAGAAGTGCAACTTGGCACATGTGATTACACACCATTTGGCATGTGAGCCGTAACAATTGCAGCAACGACTGTGGTTTGCAGAGTTAAACAGCAGGGATGTCAGGGAAAAAACTAACAAACAACAGACCGCACAATAGTCTGCTTCCACTTCTGACGATGACGGATTGTTGGCGAAGGGTGTAAGTGAAGCTTTTGGTGCGTCTTATTGAGAGTAATTACTTCAGATGAGGAGTGGCAGCAGGTAATGTGGGCCTTCCTGTCACAAACACAAACACACCCGAGGGCGAGTAGCCAGAGAGAGGCACTGTGAGGTCATGAAGGTAAGCTTTCAACCCTAGCGACCTAGAACTAAAGAGGCAAATGTAATCTGGTTACTGAGCTCATTCTGCAGGCTCTTTATTCACAGCACATATCTCCACAGCATGAAAAGCACAGATTTATAACTTGAACGCTTATGTGATGTTTTTATATGTAAACCTTAATGAAGTGAAGCAGCGCTGTAAAAGGAGAGTGGATCAAAATTTCTCCACGAGGATGTGAGAGACTGATTAAATCATACAGAAAATCATTTCAAATAACTTTAAGCTATTGCTGCTACAGGAGGCTCCATAAGCTTTACGCTAGTTTTCTACACAATGCTTCTGCATTTTTGCTGGGGGTTTTGTTAAAATAGTGGAATCCACTGGGATTAGATCTAAATAATTTTAGAAACTGGTGAGGACCAGATGATTTTTTATTATGTCTGTAGTATTGATTAGTGGTCTGTAGTGTCAGTGATTTAACAGTCTAATTTAAAGAGTAAAGCTTCAGATTACACTGTGCCGCTTGCAACATAAGCATTCAAAATGCACAGCATAATTGTTTTTGTGCTCACATTATGTATAGAATAAAAAATGCACTTTAAATTCCTTCCAAATATTGGTATCCAGTACTTTATACCACAATCCCTTTAATAAGGGATTAAACAATATATGTGGCAGCTCCCCACAAAACCGAACTGGAGACGCTGATAAGAAAAAGAAAGCGTATATAATCAGGCACCAATACCTTGGTCTACCATTCATGTCGATATTGGCCTTGCTGGCATCAGCAAATAAGGTGACATTTACAGATGTCAGATTGATCTGTTTCATCACATCAGTTTGGCCTAAAAAAATATTTTTAACACTTCTATTAATATTAGGCCAGACTTTCCCAACAATGTATCCCTACTCCTAATAGTGTGGTTTTCTGACACTGTCTGAAAACACAATATACATAGCTGCAAATAAATACATGCTTTAATGCTGCAATCATACAACATGAGGTGGGCTTCAAGTTGCAGAAGAGAGGAGCTAACAGGAAAAAGTGACTCACACAAACAAACCAATCCAAAATCTGCGCATGTCCCGCTTTACTATGAGTGGCACGTATCTAACCTCCATATTAACTGCAGCTCACTGTGCGTAAACATCAGCTGGAGCCAGTCATCTTCTCTCTCCAGCAGTGGGTGGCCTGCTGTTTTTGTTTACATCCCAGACGAAGTGCACTGTCTGCAAGCCAGGCCTGGCATCGCAGCGTGTTTTCAACGGAGCAGAAACAAACTATGCACTTCTGATGTCCTCAGCTCCGCGCTGAGGATTTTTCTGTCGCCTGACACGATCTCTTTGCTTGTAAACGTCTCAGTGTTTGTGCTGGGTGTAATGCGAGGCCCATCCAGCAGCCAGACTCCATTCATCTGCAGCCATGTGTCAGCGTAATGGAGAGAAAATGAAGAGGGGAATGTTGAGACACACAGATTCAGTCTCGTCTGTAAAGGAACATCTGCTGTATTAGTCGAATGTCTTTGATTAAACTCAGAGTTTTGAACTCTATAACATTTGACTTTTGGATTCAGAGTTTTTTTAAAAAGTTATTCAGGCTTTATAAACCTGCTGATGTTGAACTTTATTCGCCGTTTAAACCCAACTTTATGACTTGTCCATAGGTCTAACATCCCAGCATGGCTTTCCACAGCGTCCAGCACATGAGTAAATTACACCCCGCAATAAGGAGTGAAAGTGAAAGGGCTAAAAGAAGAAAGAAAAAAACCCCCCCGAGATAAACCAGGAAGGAGGCGAGCTGTGGTGCTGCTGCATTAAAGTGTCTAATGACAGAGTACAGCGCTCCGGGCCTACAGGTCTGAGGCCGACTCTCTGCTCTGTCATTTCTCCTGAGCGGCCCGGCACGCTGGAACCATTACTGAGGCACCAGGACACGCCGCACGGCTAAAAGAGGAGCAGACGGAGGTGGGGGCTGGTGATGATAGAAGGGGCAAAACGGCATGAAAAACAGGTGCAGTCTGCGGTGGGATTATTATAGGTGCAGTGTTCAAATCGACATCTGATTTGGGATAGTCTTCAAAACCTTTAATAGGCCTAAAGAGTTTTGTTATTTTATGTCACATGGATGGTGTGACAGTGGATTTTCCTACCAAGCATGGCATAATGTGCAAAATAATGAGGCCATTTTTTTGTGTGTTCCTGGCTCTGTGTGATGTCATTGAGAGCTGACTATTTGCAGGTACAGAGCTCCTTGCTGTTCACAATTGTTTATGAGGAGTAGCCAATCAGAAGGGAGGTTTGGAGAGAGTTTGGTTCAGGCAGAGTGAACTGAATAAATAGTGATCATTCTGAATGATGAGTCCTGCAAAGCTAGAAGCCAAGAATAAAAATATGGAGCTGGAAAAGACCACAACAGTAAAGTGTAAAATACCTGTAAAGTACCTAAGGAGAACTCTAAATTGTAAAAAATAGGCTGTATTTTTCCCTCCTGTGCTAATAACAAAGCTCTGCAGGCAGCCACGTGGCAGGCAGGCAGATGATTCTTTAACTTATTTAGCAGCTGAAATACTTTCCCCATGTTTGGACCCATTTAAATCTACATTGGCTACATTGGCTTGGCTCAGTCGATAAAACAGAGGCCTGTTCTGAATAACAACACTGTAGAAAAGCACGCTTTACCTGTGACCGAATTACGAGCACAAAATGAAATATCGGATAAACTTTCATTTTGGATA